ACATACAGATACACATCTGCACGCACACACACACACACACACACACACACACACACACACACACACACACCACACATATATATATATATATATATATATATATATATATATATATATATATATATATATATATATATACACACATGTGTATGCATATGCGTGTACGTTTGTGTGTGCCTGCGTTCATGTGCTTGTGCCTATGAGTGTGAACGTGCTACCACACAGCCACGTATGCAGATGCATGTGAACGCACGATCCCTGGCAGCAGACGAGTCCCCAGGCGGATGCAGCGAGGGGCCGCCCGCGCCGCCGACCGAATGATTCCTGCTGATAAGCCCAAGGCTACCGGAGGAAAGTTCAGGCCCTGGCGACGCCCTGCTGGCCATGGCGGGGGTGCTGGCGGAGGAACACAAGGGAGAGGAAGCAGCGGCAGGCACTTCCAGATATTTTAATTTTTTTGAGATATTGGGTTTGGCTCCAGTGTTTTTATGTTCTCGTAAATGTAAAAAAAAAATGCGAAAGAAAGGATCTACTTATGAGGCAACGGCAGGCGCTTCCTGATATTTTTAAGTTTTTAAGATTTTGGGTTCGACTCCATTGTTTATGTTTTCGTGAATGTAAAAAAAAAAAAAAAAATGCGAAAAAAAGGATCTATTATTGAGGCAACGGCAGACGCTTCTAAATACTTGGAAACTTGTCAAAGATTTTGAATTTGGCTTAAGTATGTATGGTGTTTGCGAATATATATATGCGAGAGAAAGGAGACATTAATGAAGCAATGGCGGTCGCTTCTAGATATCTAAAATTCTAGATGTATATGTTTGTTTGTTTTTGTGAAAGAAAGGAGTCTGAGGTGAAAGAATGGTTGGTGCTTTCAGATAAGTTCAAGAATTGAGGTATGGCTCAAATATGTATGTTCTTAAGTATCCATGTATTCATTGAAATTGTGAAAGATTTTGGATTTGACGCAAGTGCATATGTTCTTGTGAATTCAGTGAAAATATGCAAAAAAAAACGTGAAAGATATTTTTTAATTGTCCAAAAAAAAAAGATTTAGCGCATGTGTATACGTTCTTGTGAATGAAAATAAATATTCGGAAAAAGAGACAGAAATGTGAACTATGGCGGCCGCTTTCACACATTTAGAAAGTGGCGTTTGGATTTATCTTAAAAAAAAAGTAATATGAGCCTTTAAAAGCAGTTTCGTATTTTTGTGACGTCATGGTATCATTACCAGTTTTTCTTCTTATCAATAACTTTTTTTTTTTTTTTATCAGGGAATATTTTCGATCAGAGAAAACAAATGTAATTCTGTAGACAAAGGAAGACCATTTAAGAAAAATAATATCACACAGAACGAGAAACAAACATTGTTGCTATGTGTAATATATACGGCACACACATACATAAACGCATCCTGTGTGTATGTATATGTGTGTATATAAATAGATAATTAAATATATATAGAAATGTATGCATATGTGTATGTATAACTATGTATAGATAGATAGATAGGCAGGTAGAAAAGTAGATAGATGATGATAGATAGATAAATAGATGATATATATAGATAGATTTATAGATATACATACACATACATATACACGCACACATGCCCACGCACACACACACACATGAGAGATAGATAAATAGATATATACAGATACACACACACACACATACTACACATGCACACACACACACACACACACACACACACACACACACACACACACACATATATATATGTATATTATGGGTAAGTTCCATTTTCATCTGTCTGATAAGGAACTCTTGACGAGTTCAAAACGTTATTTATTTTCACTTCTTATTGTTGCTGTTTTCCTTTTTCGTGTTTGCGCACACGTTACTGTGTTTGTGTCATTATATATATATATATATATATATATATATATATATATATATATATATATATATATATATATATATATATATATATATATATATATATATATATATATATATATATATATTTATTTATTTATTTATTTATATATAAGTATATATGTGGGTGCATACGAATCTCTTCACATGCATTATCAATCCTTTATCATAGACGTGGGAGCCATTCATGCCCTGTAAGGCTAGTAATCAAGACACAAAGATAAGAAACATATCTCAATGAGTCACTGCACACCTGAGCTAAGCACGGGTAAGTCCATGTATTCTACCAAGGTGTACGGAGGTTCATTAATTCCATGTTATACAGACATTCTCTTCTCATTCGGTTAGTTTGTTCACAGTGCGATTTCCTGTTGACTAAAATTTCTGTAAAAAAAAATGCTATTTTGTTTTCTCTTGTGCGTGGGGCGTCAGAAGTAGCTAGGATAAACATCAGTGCAAGGAAAATGATATTAATATGCAAAGAGATTTATTAGTGATGTACTATATAGTAACACTGACGTATTGTAATTTGTTAGTGTATATGTATATTTGTATGAGGGCACATGAGTCCTCCAGCGCGGGATTTAATTTCATGGACAAAAATCCAGATTAGGGTTGTCAAAACATGCGCCCTGAAATACTAGTCGTTACTTCTGTTTTGCATAACATTATTAGTCTTGGCTCTTAAAGGACATCATATTATTATTTCTAATGATCCAAATGGCCTTTTAAATCTATTACGACGGTATGGTGGTATAAATAATTCATGAATGGGTCTTTTTTTATAACGCAATCTCTTGCGTGCATTACATTATCTGATTCGCGGAATTTCTCACATCTGGGCCATCGCAGTAAACGAGTTTCACACCCATGGTTCTGCACTCGGTTTTACTCCTATATTGCTGAAGTATTAGGAGATACTTAAATCATATCCCAGCTTTGGTATACTGTGATGTTACATTTATTAAGACTTATTCAAACTTGTAACTCAATTTGCCCACACCTGTCCGGTTACCCAGGGTGTTGGATAACGGAAAAAATACTTAATCCAAGTCCTAATTTGGTATTTTGATCTACCAACTTAATGACAGTTTTTGAGGTTGTGGAGAATATTGACCATTTACTCCAAGTCACCCATTTGAGCGGTTCTCTGATAAATCATTTAAATTGAACTACCGCTGAAATATATATACACTGAATACTACAGAGTTTGCATTGTATTATCTAGAAGTAATACTCTGGACAGAGAAAAGTCTACCATAATTTTGACAATTTATTTGTTGGAGAGTACGATGTAATAAATAAGGCTTTATGGTTTCAAAGCCTGTGGCAGAATGGAGAATTAATGTAATTATTGTGAGGCTCGAAATTCAAATATGGCGAAAACGATAAACAATAATTTCTTGTCGGACGTACAGTATTTGTAAGGGTTTTATTGTCTTGAATAAATGCCTAAATCAGTATATCGGTTTCTTTGTAGGACAATGATAGCTGTTCGAATGGGGAGCTCGGAACATGTGTGGTGCCCTGGCTAACTAATAGCTCTATAGATGTTCGTAGTACCTGGAAGTATCACATTTTAAAGTAAATTTAGAGCATTTTAAAATGAATATAGAGCATTTTTAAGTGAATACAAAACAATAGGGACATTAAGAAAATTACCTGTAGAGTGGTCTTGAAAATGGTTAATTTCAATAAAACCAGAGGAGCTTTAGAATTGCGAATTAAATTATACAATTCTCTTATTGCATTGCAAAGCAACTGGAGTTCTGGAGAACACTTTAAAGGTGAAAATATACTTGTTTGAATATCCCCAGGCCATTAGTTATTTAAGTCTTGAAAGCAGCCATAGCAAAAGTCCACCAGACTTAATACAATTTCAAAAGCAGAAAAAAAACTGAGAAAATACACAGTAAATGTATCAGAATTGAGAAAATGGTGATGTATAGAATTATCATAATTTACAACGGAGGAAAAATCAATAAAACCACTGAGCTTGTTGGAGTTCTTAGAGCACATGGTGGCACAATATTTTGTAGATATGTTTTTCCTGTATTTTGATATATAGTCTTTGTATTTTGAAACAGTGAGAAAATGCAGAAAGTATGTCCAAAGTTTCCCATTATGTAAAGCTTATTAAGATTTGTAGTTTTTAGTTCATCGTTTTTTGTACATTTCCAATGGTGTACAATACATTCGCGTTCACATATTAATATAGTAGAGTTGGTATGCTGCAGAAGTCTGGTATATAATAGTGTGTCGCCAGACTGCAAAGGCTGAGTACCACTGCATTGGATCAGCTGCAGCACTTCGGTAAACTCACTGTAGTAAAGAGTAGGTGTTTGTTCGGGACGTTGCTGTAGAATGAATAAGTAATGTTCAAGGCACAGCAACAGAGAGCTTAACCATTACAAAATATGTATGAATATGGAGATATATATATATATATATATATATATATATATATATATATATATACACACACATATATATATATATATATATATATATATATATATATATATATATATATATATATACATATACATATGAAATATAGGAGTAAAACACCTCATCGATCTACTTCTCTGTGGTCTGTGGTAGATTTTCGATAAAAAAAAACAGACAGCTATGACTTCAATGTGATTTGTTGTCGAATTAATTTAGCTATTAGCTTAGTGAAGAAACGCTAATTATTAATTTGTAGTTTTTTCGTTTTACTAAAGTAATTTCTTTACTGTAGGGCCTATAAGTTGTTTTGTAGATAAATTAAAATCAGATTATCAGCCTTTCTCTCTTCTTCTACCTCTCCTTATTTGTCCTTTCCTCTCCCTTTCCCTTTCCCCTCTCCCTCTCCAGCCTTTCTCTCCCTAACGCGTGGAATCAATAAGAGAAACATTTATTCGCGTGAACGTTTCCCTTTGACGTAATGCAATGGCGCGTCGCAAACGTTGGTACGTTATTCAGAGCGGAATTTTTAAGAGGTTTAAGTGAAAAAATAATAGGAATAGATATTAAAAAAAGAAGATTAACGAAAGTTTCTCTGAGACCATACAAAGCACAGAAGATAAGAAAAAAATGGATCATGGTAATAA